GGAAGCAGCTTGAAACTGGAGCTTAAAAGGATGGAGTAGTTTGGCAGAGAAGAGTATCCACAAGTTTAGAGACAGGTGGGAAAAATTGACCAGGAGAAAGAGATTTCAAAATCAAAAGAGATTAGGAACTGTAGGGTCCTAATTTTATGTACACACACACACACACACACACACACATATAAAACAAAAGATGAATGGATATATACAATGTTTATTGTGGTTATGGGGGAGGGAATGTGTTGATAGCTAATTTTTATTTTCTTTGTGGGGCTTGTTTTTTGCTTTTTGTTTTTGCAACAAGTTGGTCTTAGTATTTACTTTGAACAACAACTTTAATGCATACACAGGTTTTCCCCTTAAGTGACTGAGATTTAACTCAGGGGTGCTCTATCACTGTGCTACACCCCCAGTCCTTTTTTTGTGGGGTGTACTGGGGATTGAACTCGGGCATTTGACCACTGAGCCACATTCCCAGCCCTATTTTGTATTTTATTTAGAGACAGGGTCTCATTGAGTTGCTTAGTGCCTTGCCATTGCTGAGGCTGACTTTGAACTCATGATCCTCCTTTCTCAGCCTTCTGAACCACTGGGATTATAGGAGTAGGTCACGTCGCCCAGCCTCCCACCCCCAGTCCCTTTTTTGTGTGTTGAGAAAAGTCTTGTTAAATTGCCAAGAGGACCTTGTGATCCTCCTGCTTCAGCCTCCAGAGTTGTGAGGATTATAGTTGTGAATCACTGTGCCCTTTTTTTTTTTTTTTTTTTTTGGTAATCAGGGGCACTTAACCACACCCCCAGCTCTTTTTTTTTTTTATCTTAGAGACAGAGTCTCACTAAGTTGTTTAGGGGCTTGCTAAGTTTCTGAGGCTGGTTTTGGACTTGCAATTCTGCCTCAGCCTCCAGAGCTTCTGGGATTACAGGCATTGACCACTGTACCTGGCTCAATATTATTTTTATTTTTCTAGTTGTGCTAACTTTATTTGAAAACAACTATAAGTTATTCACATTGAGTTGAAATATCAACTTTGATCATATAATGATGTTCCTATATGCAGTGATCCGGACTCGTTACTTCTCCTGGCTTGTCTACCAATCCATAAGCCAAGACATAGTGATCTGATTACAGGAGGCTTCCTACCCCGCACCCCAGGAACTGGGGATTGAACCTAGAGTCTTCTATCTCTGAGCTATATCTCCAGACCTTTTTTTTTTTTTTTTTTTACCCAGGCTGGCCTCAGACCTGGAATCCTCCTGTCTTAATGTGTCCCAAGTAGCTGGGACTAGGAGTGTGCCACTGCACCTGGTTGATTTCTGGAATTTTATAGATGTTTTCTGGTATCTGTCAAGGAAATAGGGCCTCCCCCCGCCCCTTTTTTTTTTGGTGTGGTGCTGGGAATTAGGTGTGCACTTCCTGAATGCTAGGCAAGCCCTCTACCACTGCCATACCCATAGTCCCATTCTGTTTTTTTGTTTGTTTGTTTGTTTGGTGGTGCTGGGATTAAACCCAGGGCCTTGTGCATGCAATGTAAGCACACTACCAATGAGCTATATCCCCAGCCTCCCATCCTGGTTTTTTTTTTTTTTTTTTTTAATAGTTTTTAGTGGTAGTTGGAAACAATACCTTCTTATTTTATTTATTTATATGTGGTGCTGAGGATCGAAGCCAGGGCCTTGCATGTGCTAGCAAGTGCTCTACTGCTGAGCCACAACCCTAGCACCCCCATCCTGCTTTTTAAACAACTACTGGGCATTTATTATTTTCTTTAAATTTAAAACTTTGGATGGTGATATAGTTTAGTGGTAGAACACACATGCTTACCATGTGTAAGGACCTGGGTTCAATCCCCAGCAAGCCTCCCCTTCCCCCACCAAATGGCAGTTGTTTTTTTTTAAACCAGTGGTTTAATTTCCATTTTAATTGAAATTATCTTAGTGTTTAATTATTTAGGATAGTACTGACTTATTGGTATTCTAATACCAGTCCATTATGTTTTAATTAAAGTGTTTTTTTTTTTTTAAGGAATAGCTGCTGAAATTTAATGAAATTCCTTTCAGCATCTGTTGATATGATCATATAAATTTTTTCTTTAATTTGTTAATATAATTAATTACATTGATAGATTCTCTATTAAACCAATTCTGTACTCCTCGAATAAACTATTTGGTTATAACATTTTAAAAATTCACTATTCTATTCTAATAATATTTTAGAATCTTGCATCTATATTTATAAATGAATTTGATTTCTCATTTTTTAGTATCTTCATAAAGTTTTTAATATTAATGAAGTCAGCATAATTTTCTTCCCCCTTATGGCAGGGATGGAACCTGGGGCCTCATTCATGCTAGGCAAGTGCTCTACCACTGAGCCTACATTCCCAGCCCTCAGCAAAATTTTTATTTTTTTGATGGTACTGAGAATTGAACCAGGGATGCTCTACCATTGAGCTATACCCTCAAAACGTTTTTTTTTTTAAATATTTTTTTTTAGTAATTGAGGGACCTTTATTTTATTTATATGCAGTGCTGAGAATCAAACCCAGTGTCTCACACATGCTAGGCAAGTACTTTGCCACAATCCCAGCCCTCTTCAACATTTTATTTTTTATTTTAAGACAGGATCTAGCTGAGATGCCCAGGCTGGCCTGGAACTTAGAACCCTGCCTCAGCCCCACAGAGTAGCTGGATTATAGGTATGGGCCCCCAGCTGTTTCCTTTCTTTCCTTTTTAACAATGAAAGCATTTAAGGCTCTATTTTCCCAGAGTACCACTTATAGATTTGGGCACCTGAGTTACTGAAATTAGTAAAGTTTTCTAAATTAAAAAATAGAGGGCTGGGGATATGGCTCAAGCGGTAGCACGCTCGCCTGGCATGCGTGCGGCCCGGGTTCGATCCTCAGCACCACATACAAACAAAGATGTTGTGTCGGCCGAAAACTAGAAAATAAATATTGAAAAATTCTCTCTCTCTTCTCCCTCTCTCTCTCACACTCTCTCTTTAAAAAAAAAAAAAAATAGAATGGCGGATAGAGGGATAGTGCACACTCAAGGACCTGGTTTCAATTCCCACACTCCTCTGCCCTGCTGAAAAGAAAAAGGGACATATTGACATAAAAATGCAAACTTGGATTAGAGCCAGGAGGAAACTGTAAGATTTGATTCCAGATCTCAGTTGGATAAGGGCTTTTTCAGCTGCAGGGCAGAGTTGCCCTCAGGTCCTCACTGTTTGGTAGAGTAAGGCACAGGTGAAAACCCACTGAGTAGATGGAAAGATGATATGACTACAGCCAGAAAGAAAGATGGCAATAAGTGGAACCAGAGAGGTATGTGACTCATGGAAGTTCACACAGCTCACTGCAGAGCTGGCCTGAAAATCAGCTCACAAAGAAGGAATCTATGGAGCCAGAACGGATTGGCTTTTTGCAGTACAACAGTAAAAAACAGCTAAGGACACAGTCTAGAGGAACATGCCAACTATGGCTAGGGTTTGATCCATGCAATTCCCAGCACAGAAAAGAAAAAAAAAGACAACTTTTCTGTTTAGCAGAAATTTGCAGAGTAGATCTTGTGTCCTTATTGCCCACATACACACAAATGGTAACTGCATGGTGAGAGCTGTATTAATTGCAGTAATAATCCTATGATATGTACATGTTGACTCCTGGGCTCAAGAGATCTTTCCACTTCAGCCTCCTGAGTGTCTGGACTGTAGGTGAGCATTAGCATGCCATGCTCAAGTGTACCTATTTTAGGGTCAATTGTACCTCCCAATAAAGCTGGAGAAAAAAGGAACAAATGCAGCTTCTAAGTGTCCTTTGCTTCTCAAGGAGTAAGAAGAACTGAGTTTCAGGAGTTCTGGTTTGCCTAGTAGGTTAGGAAAAAAGATATTAAAGTATCTGGGGCTGGGGTTGTGTATCCCAGTGGTAGAGCACTTGCCTATCATGTACAAGGCCCTGGATTTGATTCTCAGCACCACCAATGAATGAATAAAGTTATTATCCCAAAGAAGTGAAGCTGGGTCTCTTGGAAAAGCATTTGATATTCATTTCCTAGTGAGCAAGAAAAATGGTGGTGTTGAGGATGGGGTGTCTTCCTAGGTGTCTGGGACATGGGCAAGGCAAACCCCCATAGGCACTGACTTATAGGTTATATATAGATGGTGGCTCCAAGGTCTCTCTGTACCTTAGACCCCTCGCTCCACCATCAGGGAAGAGACAAGAGGCCAAGCCATATGCCTACTGACTTGTTATCCCTGTGGGCACTGGCTCAAGACACAGCCTCCAATGGGGAAAGCCTGGCCCCCAGCACCCCCTCCTTAGGAGTCAGCAGCACTAAGCAACAGGGCAGGCAGGAGATGCTGGGCTCCCCAACCCTGACTGTCCTCCCTAGCCCAAGAAGCCCTTTCAAAGGTTTTCCTGGCAGAGTGTAAAGCTTCAATTCATTCAACTGCCTGGCACCAGGCCCAGGATGAGAGGATGCTGGGAAAGCCCCAACTCTTACCTTAGCTGCCCCCAGTTCCCTGGGACCCCATGACAGGCCTCCACTGGTCTTTCTATTCATCCAGTAGTACCCACTCCCTTCCCCTTGGGGACCCAGGTACCCTGCCCCTTTTCTGTAGAGCAGATGGCTACCCGGGAGGCTCAGGCTTGCTAAATCAGACATTTAAATCCTATAATCCTTGGTGAGAGGCTGCCGAGGAGACAGCAGCCCAACCCTAGAAGCAGGGGCGGGTGAGAACTTTGTGCCAGCCCTGGCAGGAGGGGAGGAGGGACAGTTGGTTCCCAAGTTATGAATGGAGTCACCCCTCTCCCTTGTTGTCATGCAGCCCACAGACTGACCCAGTCCCCAGCCTTTGTTCCCCTCCTGGAGCCTAAGCGCTGCGCCCCCCCTCCTCAGCCCACCCATCCTGGAGACCCAGGGGGCTATCTCCCAACTTGACCTCCTTACTCATCCCTGCACCTGGGGGCCCAGGCAGCCTGTGTGGACACCCATCCAAACACACATGTGGTAGCAAAGTTTTATTGTAAAACAAGAAATCGATATAAAAAGGGGATATAAAATGAGAGAAAGGGTATGGGGTGACAAAGGCAGATTTGTCTTGCAGGGTGCCAACAAACAAATAAAAAAATAAAAAAAATTAAAAAACCCCCCAAAACTACAAAAACCTGACCCTGAGCATATGGGGGAAGTAAAACAGATCTTGGTGGACACAGATCCTATATAAGCCTGAGATGGAATCCTCCAGGCTGTGGGATGGGATGAGATTTCATTTCAGGTGCCAAGGTTCAACAAGAGGTTGGACAGGATTTGGCTGGCCGGCAGAGACTTGGCAACTCCTTCCCTTTAACCAGCTGCTCAATCTTGGAAACCATCAACACATCGCCCTAACAGGGGCAGGAAACCAACAACCACAAGGGGGCCAAGTCCCAGCCACCTCCTAATACAAGGCAGTTCAAAGCCAGACATACGTTATTTCATTAACCCTCACAACAAACCCCGTGAGGTAGGTACGATGATCAACGTTTTATAGATGTGGGTATTGAAGTTAGGAGAAATTAAACAACTTGAAGATAGCTTTTCTGGTCAGCATGGTTGAAGAAGGGCTTCCAACCCATCGGATGGCTGGTTGTAGGTTAACCCTTACATGCAAGAACATTTTCTTCCATCTCCCACTCTTCACAGTTAAAGCTAAGCCGGTATGTCTTAGCTCTCACCTCTCCCCAAAACACCAGTGCAGGCTGACTTGAGTGAAACTCTATAGACAAGACAAATGGCAGAATTCCTAGGCATTTCTGAGGCACACCTATACTAAGCAGGGATTCAAGCACCCAAGTTCCAAAATGCTAGGGAAGGAGGGCAGGGGTGGGGGGTGGGAGACAAGAGTCAGAGGATGTCAGTCTGAATCAGGCCCCTCTCTCTTGAATATTATTTTTTTATGACGGGAGGTAGACTGCCCCTTCTTGGACTTCAGGTAGCTGTACGGAAAACAGAAAAGGGGGTGAGGAAAGATGACGTAAGGCTGGCACAAGGGGAATTTAAATTAAGATGGTCACACCACGGGCAGATATGTTTACTGAGCACTTGGGGGGCACCTGTGTGTATCAATCCCTTCATTTTCCCCTACACCACGAGTAAACAGCATGAGAAGGGCAAGTAACAAGATCACAGAGTACCTGCTAGCACTTGGCAGGGTTGAGTGACCCCCAACTGGTTCTGCCCATCAGTTTCATAAAATTACTAGGCTCCCCATCCCTCAACCCCTCAGCTCTGAGTTAGGATTTGCCAAGATGGCAAAGAAACATCCATGCTCATCGCTAGGTTAGCGGAGCCAGAGACAGGGAGATGGTTGTATGATATAACAGGAGGAACACTAAGGAACACTGAGAAGGGACAGGACCAGTGGGATGGGATCTACTATCTTTTATCATGAAGGCAGAATTGGAATGGAATCCTATGGTTTTCCCATCTAGTAGGGAGGGGGCAGGGCCCAGTCACAGTCACTCACCTGGGATGAGGTCTGCTCTCCCCTGGCTCCTTTTCAGCCTGGGCATCCTTGAGCTCCAGGGCCTCATTCAACTCTTGGAACATCTCAAAGCGTGCACGGCCACGGATCTGCAGCAGGGGTAAAGGGGGATGGAGAAAGTTGGGCAAAGTCACAGAACCATTTTCTAGCTGTCTTCTTTTTTGGAGGGAGGCTTACTACTAGGGATTGAATCCAGGGGCACTCTAAGACTTTAGCTAGTCCCCAGCCCCTTTTTTCAAATTTTATTGAGAAAGGATCTTACTAGATTACAAGGTTGGCCTTGAGCTTATAACCCTCCTACTTCAGTGTCCCAAGTCTCTGGCTCATGTTTTTTTTTTTTTTTTTTGGTACAAGGGACTGAACCCAGGGATACTTTACCACTGAGCTGCATCCCCAGTCCCCTTTTCATTTTTTATTGAGACAGGGTCTCACTAAGTTACTGAGGTTGGTCTCAAACTTGCTGTCTTCCTGCCTTAGCATCTCAAACCACTGGGATTACAGGCATACACCACCATGTCTGTCTTGAAACAAATTTTTTTCCCTTTTTTATAGGGCTGGAGATGGAACCCAGGGTCTCAAACATATTAGGCAAGTGCTTTACCACTGAGCTATACCCTGAGCCCAACAATTTTCCCTTTTTAAAAAAATTTTAATATTTATTTATTATTTATTTTTTAAAGTTTTCAGCGGATACAACATCTTTGTTTGTATGTGGTGCTGAGGATTGAACCTGGGCCGCACGCATACCAGGCAAGCGCGCTACTGCTTGAGCCACATCCCTAGCCCCACAATTTTCCTTTTGAAAGATGATCCTTATTAATACAGATGGTCCTGAACTTACAGTGGTTTTTTATTTTACAATGGTGCAAAAGTGATAGTAGAAAGTGGATATCAATTTTGGGTCTTTTACAGACTAGCATTATGTAATATGATACTCTTTGTCAATATGGGGCAGTGGCAGTAAGCTGCAGGTCTGTCAGACACATGACCATGACCATGATATTGTACTGTATACTGTATTGCTCACCTGTGATGTATGATAAGTTAGGTGGGTAGGTGGATTAAATGCAGTGTTGGGGATTGAACCCAGGGTTCCACACATGCTAGGCAAGCACTCTACAATCCAGCCACAACCCCAGCCCAAATGCTCTTTTGATTTGTTAATGTTTTCAGCTTACAATGGGCTTACTGGGAGGCGATTCCATCATAAGTGGAGAAGCACTATACTATAGTACAAGTATTCTCACTTTGGGTACAACCAAGGGTCACTGTCTGAGGCAGCACTATCCTCTGACGACAAATGCCCTAATTGCAGGCAAAGCAGCCAAAAGTGCTAGGCTGAAAATTTGCAATCTGATAATAACTTACTCTAAGAGTCTAGGATATGAACAGAGGAAATAGTACATCTTTTCTTCAATTCCAATTAGTACATGCAAGAGACTATGTGTTTCTCTCAGACTTGGTACCTTAAGGGTGAAATATTCTCCATCCAGTGGTTTCTTCTTTGGCTGGGGAGAGGAGCTGGTGCCATTGGGTAGTGCTGGGGAAAAGGTGAGAAAAGAGTGAATTTTGGGCAGAACTACACCCTCTCTTCTCCGTCCACCTCTTTTTGTCCTGCCTACTTACCTCGCTTAGTACTCCTTGGTGGTGGCTCAGGGCAAGGCTCTCCTCTTTTGCGGAAATTTTCCTCCTCGGTGCGGCGATCTCTCCCAGGACAAGCACACACGCGTACCTCGAAGCTATTCCGTCCCAGCAGGTTACCACTGTACAGGACGAGAGAAGTAGGCGGAAGTAAGAAAACTGGGTCCTACTTGCCCTGTCTGTAAACCAGGCCCCACCTACTCCTAATTGCATTTTCCCCCTCTGGAGCCTAAGCTCCTGCTCCAGGGACACTAAGGAGAAGCCAATGGTAAGATAGATTCCCAAACCAGAGAATAGGAAGGTGAGAGAAAACAGCAGAGGAGGTCCTACTTGTGGAGGAAGGGTGAGAGTTAACAATGAGTGACAGTGTGGTAGGGGGTGGGGACAGGGACTGGCAGAGGCTGGAAAGGAGCACGCCAGTGTGAAGGGTGGCATGCGGATCCCTACCTAGAGTCTTCCAACGTGATAATGGTGAGGATGGGCCGTCGGTTCATGCCTCCCATGCAAGAGCTGTTGCACATGTAGTTGTAGTGGATGGTGGTGCACTCAGAGCCGACCTGGGAAGAACAAGATCTGTGACAGGCAGGGAGGCCTGCAGCCTCTAGAAGCTTCCGTTTCTTCACTTAAGGAAATAGGGGTAACCCTTTTCCCCCTGCAAATTTCCCAAGGTTGGGAAGACACTGAATAAGAAGCAGGCAGGCTGGGAGTGTGGCTCAGTGGTAGAACACTGGCCTAACATATGTGAGGCCCTGAGTTCTATCCCCAGTACTTAAACAAAAAAACAAAAAGCAAGACAAAGTTCCCTACTTCCCCCTGAATAGCCAATGACAATCCCTTCAGTCCCCTCCTCCCAGAGACCCCAGCTGCCAAAGCAAACCTCAGGAGGTTCATAGGGCACCACTACACTGTGTCGAAAAGTGTTTCTGTCATCCAAATATTCTGCACGCAAATTTCCTTCCACTCGGATGAGATGCTGAGGAGGGGCCAGGCCTAAGAGCAATTAGGGACACATTAGAGGCTTGGGGACCCTGGGCAGACAGCTGGATCCATCTTAAGCCCCTGATCACTAACCATCACTATCAGAGCAGCGTTCGTGATGGGGACAGCGCCTCACAACTTCTGTCATGTGCTGTGACTTCTTATAGATGGCCATGGCGCGGACGCGGGTGCCAGGTGGGGGTGTTGAGTCAACCCATAGCTGCACAGGGCAGGTTTTTGCCAGCTGGCAGAATAGCTTGTTGAGAGAAGGGGAATACTGTAGAAGAAAGGAGAAGAGTTGAAGGGTGGGGACAAGCCAACAAATGAGACAAGGGAAAAAGGAGATTTAATGAACAAGCACTGCTTGGGCACCTATTAGATGTCAGGAACCACAGGGGAGGGCAGCTAGAGATAATGGAGTTAGGGTCTACATATAGGGAGTTTATTTTCTCTATTTTTTTTTTTTTTTTTTGCAGTAGGGACCGAAACCAGAGGCCCTTTATTACTGAGCTACATTCCCAATACTTTTTATTTCTTTGAGACAGGGTCTTGCTAAGTTGCTAAGGCTGGCCTTGAGCATGCCATCTTCCTGCCTCAGCCTCCAAGTTGCTGGATTTACAGGTATATGACATTCCTGGCTTTTTGTTTAAGACAGGGTTTCATGGTGTTGCAAAGGCTGGCTTTGAACTCCTGGGTTCAAGGGACCTTCTGGATTCAGTCTCTCTAGTAGAAAATTCAACTTTGGGACAGAGGTCAAAGTCCACAGACTAAATGGGTAAAATGTAAATAATGTCTAAGAAGTCAGAGGCTAAAGAGGTATCCTCAAGCTCCAGACCAAAACAACAACAACAAAACAAAAACACATAGGGGAATATGACTAGGCATTGAAAGGTCATATGAAAGCCTGTTCCCCAGAGCCACTGACCGTGCACGTGACTGATTTGGCTGTCCCGGAATGAAGGAAGCCTAGACGGAAACCATAGACGCCAGGGTAGGTGTTTTGAGAAGGGACCGATGATGATAGGGGCCAAGAGGTGGCTGGTGAAGGGGCTGCCAGTGTAGAGGCCGCTGGTGTGGGGGCCTTTGGTGCAGGAGCTGCTGACATTTGAAGGGCTTCATCTGGGCCTTTGTCAAACCAGTTTTCAACGTCTTCTGAAGATAGCAGCAAATCATCCATAGGAGGGGACAATACAGGAGACTGTGGATGGACAAAAGAGGAGTCTTAAGGCTGGGTTCCCAGTCCACTAGCCCACCAAGTCCTTAGTCCCTCCAGCTCCAGTCCTTACCAGAACGTTGTTTTCAGGAAGTCTGAAAGATAAGAGCAGAAAGTCAGCACTATTGATTTTTGCTTCCCATAGGTCTCTGCTAGGGGGCTGGGGACTGGGTTGGGGAAGGCAGGCGGAGATGGTTAATCTGTGGGGGACTGGGCAGCAGGCCTGCCCTTCCCATGGGATCTACTCAGTCTGGGCATGGTGGGGAATGCGTGTAATCCCAGTGGCTTGGGAGGCGGAGGCAGGAGGATGGAGAGTTCAAAGCTAGCCTCAGCATTTTAGCCCTAAACAAATCAGTGAGACCCTGTCTCTAAATAAAATACAACAAAGGGCAGGGGATGTGGCTCAGTGGTTAAGTATCTCTGGTTCAATGCCTGGTACCATAAACAAACAAACAAATAAATAAGCGGGGGGGGGGGGGGGGAAAAATCATCTACTCACAGGTTCCATAAGTCTGAAAATGTTTCCTGACTCAGAGGAGGCTCGATGCTGAGATCCGACTGCGGCTCCTCCATAGCAGCGTTCAGGATGCAGTCTGGCCTCTATGAGGGGAAAAGTAAGAATCAGCATAAGACACATCCAACCCTAGGCAATGGGGCCTGAGAACCTGCTATGGGAGGGGATACAGCCTGACTTCCTGGGGAGCAGGAACAGATGGGCTCCTTCTGCCTTTCTCTCAGGCTGCTCTCAGGAGCAGCCAGCTTTTCGGTCACACAATTCTTCAGAAAAGATAACCCAAGAGGGGCCTCTAACCATCCATTACATCTACAAGCCTTCCAAAATTTGCACTCTAGTCCACTCCCTCCCTGTGGGGAAGGGCACCTCACCAACCTCCACATAGCTCCATTTCTGGGATCGCCTTCACAAATCCTGAAGAATGATCATCTCTCCTCTTGCCCATTCCGGAGACCGCCCTCCACCACTTTGATTCAACAACTACCAAGGATTCCTTCCCCTTTCCTTTCCTGGGGGCTCTAACTAGCTTGAATGTCCTTCTCTGCTCAATCAATTAGTGGTTCCCCCTACAATACTCATTTCCAACTCTAGTCCCCCTTTGGCTGTGTGGTTGGTTCCTTCCCACTGAGACCTCAATTTGTGTCTCACTTCCTCAGGGATGTTTCCACAGACCACTCAATCATAGCCAGCCAGCTCAACTCCACCAAGCCACCTTATTTTAATGTTTGATGCTTCTTCCTTATTTATTTCATCTGTTTACTTTAGTAGAGTATAATCACCTTTAGGGCAGGGAAGTGTTTTATTTATTATTTATTTTTGTGGTATTGAGGATTGATTGAACCTAGGGGAGCTCTATCACTGAGCTACACCCCCAGTTCTTTTTATTTTGAGATAAGTTGCTAGGCTTACAGATGTGCGTTACCATGCCTGGCACCAGGCTATCTTTCTTTTCTTATTCTTTTGGTACCAGGAATTGAACTCAGGGGCACTTGGCCACTAAGCCACATCCCCAGCCCTATTTTGTATTTTATTTAGAGACAGGGTCTCACTGCATTGCTTAGTGCCTTGCCATTACTGAGGCTGGCTTTGAACTTGCGACCATCCTGTCTCAGTCTCCCGAGCTGCTGGGATTTCAGGCATGTGCCTGGCCTTTTTCTAAAATATTTTATTAGTTATTGACGGACCTTTATGTATTTGTGGTGCTGAGAACCCAGTGCCACACACATGCTAGGCAAGCACTCTACCACTAAGTTACAATCCCAGCCCCAGGCTATCTTTCTTGATACCAAATCTCTCTTGAGCTTTGCTAAAAGAGATACTCACCAAAAATGCTCACTGTACTTTTCTTTGTGCCTTGAACTGATAAATGCCCCACAAACAAGCAGTGGCATTAATGGCAGGCTTTTCCCTAATCTTCCTTAACATTTACTTCCACCTTTATGTTGATAGAGGGTTTTCTTTCTTATGTACCTAGAGTTTGCAAAATCCTTTCACACTGTTTATCTTATCGTCCTGATAACCACACTTGCCACTCAACAAGTGAAGAGGTTAAATGAATGAGCTTTTATCAAAAATGACCACTCAAACATTTATGAATAAGAGGCTGGGGTTGTGGCTCAGTGATAGAGTGCTTGCCTAGCACGGGCGGGGCCCTGGGTTTGATCCTTAGCACCACATAAAAATAAAATAAAGACACTGTGTCCAACTACAACTAAAAAATAAACATATTTTTTTAAAAATTTTGTGAGTAAGATGCTTACTATCATCAGACTTTTCTGTAAAAAGCTCTCTTCTGTAAATGGTTAAGGCACATTTTAGCTGAAGAAAGTCCTCTCAGTGAGAGGTTGGCAAAGGGTCAGATACCACAGCCCCTCAATTTGGAGTAGGGCTGAGCAGGAACAGGGAGGAAAGAAAGAGATGGAGGTGGCCCAGGGTGTCCTATAGATCAATGATCAAAACAAGAGTCTTAGGGGAGGAGGCTCAGAAGTCCAAAGCCCTGTGTTTGATAGTGTACCCTATCTCAATTGGATTCTTCTGGCTGCTTCACTTTATAAGAATTGAGTTTTAGGCTGGGGGTGTAGGTTAGTGATAAAGCACTTACCTGGCATGCTCAAGGATGTGCCTTCAATCCCTAGCACCCCTTTTTATCCCAAAGAATTCAGGTTTGTTATTTGATTTTAAAAGCAGTGAATCAAAATAGTTGTTATCTGGTTCCCATGAAGGGAAGAATCAAGTTTTACTCATTTTTATGTCTTAGTGCCAAATCAGCTAGGATCTGGGGAAACATGGACAGATAACAGTCGAGCATGCAATCCCTGGAGGTAGGCAGGCTCGGCCTGCATCCCAGGCTCACTACCTAGCAGCTGTTTAACTTTGGGAGGTTATTTAACCTTTCTGTGCTTTAGTGTCCTTTGATCTGAAACACGTACCTAATTATTAAAATAGTACTTTAATTCATCATCATTTTATAAAGAGCTGAGAAAAGGAGTTGGAATATATAGCTCAGTGGTAGAATCCCCAGCATCATGAAAAAATAAATAAATAAAACAAAGCAGAGTATTTGGCATATCATAAGAGCTCAACAACAGTTAGCTGTTAATATAACTGTCCTCTTATATTTGTTCTAATTATTATTGTTATTTTTAATATTTTCAATTGTAGATGGACACAATATCTGTTGGGAGCTGCTCTGGAAATACATGGCCTTAAGTCCTGAGCAAGAGATACTGAACAATTATTGTGCCCTTCAATAACTTGACCTTTACCTCTGCTGGGATAATGAGGTGTGGTTCCTGGAGCAGGCATTATCCGGTGGGGTTGAGTTACACTCACCTGTTCCTTTGTAATCCTACCCCTTGTCCCCCTTTTTTGGGGATAGAATGTTCTAAGAAACAGCAAAGAAGCCAACTCCAGAACATGTGTTCCCCCCTCCCCCCAGCCTCTCCTGACTTTCTCTTGCCCCCTTGTGGGAGCCTGAGGCTGGGAGGGGGGGAAGCTATCCTGAAGCTCATAGAAAAAGGTATCCTGTGTCTGTGTGGTCTTTTTGTGTGTCACCTAAATTCACATGAGTGACTTTGGTTCAGTTGCGCTTGCTGGACAGGGGCAGCAAACATCTTTGTTTATTTAGTTTTTTTTTAATTTTTTTAATGTGGGTCTAGGGATGGAAGCCAGTGCTTCACTTTTGCTGGGCAAGCTTTCTATCAGTGAGCCACAACTCCAGCCCTGTTCTAATTATTTTAGAGAGAACTTTGTGAGTTAGTGCAGCTTTTTTTTTTTTAAGTAATTGAGTTTTCAAAATACCTTTGTTTATTTATTTTTATGTGGTGCTGAGGATTGAACCCAGGGCCTCGAACATGCTAGGTGAGCACTCTACCACTGAGCCACAACCCCAGCCCAAGTGCAGCTTAAAAAAAAAAAAAAAAAAAAAAAAAATATATATATATATATATATATATATGTATTTTAGGTATCAATGGACCTTTATTTTTTATTCATATGTGGTGCTGAGAATCAAACCCAGTGCCTCACACATGCTAGGTAAGTGCTCTACCACTGAGCTACAGCCTCAGCCCTAGTGCAACTTTTGTGGTACTGTTCCCACCCTGCTAATGCAAGTTCACTTTCTTAGGGAATGCTGTTCAGTAAACAAGGGGTGGGAAGTGGGGCTTTCCTGGGATGGTGGCTCAAGGTATTTGACTCCTTGGAGGAAAACAGCCTCACAGACATAGGAAGTCTCCTTGTCTCTAACACTCAGGTTGTTATTATTATTTTTTAATTTGTTCCAATTGGTGACAGTAGAATGCATTTTGACACATTGTACACAAATGGAGCACAACTTCTCCTTCCTCTGGCTGAACATGGTGCAGTCACACCAGTAATGTAATCATACATATATATAGGGTAACAATGTCCATTTCATTCTACTGTCCTTCCCATCCTCATACCCGCCTCCCCTCCCCTCCCCTCTGTACAATCTCCCCCCCTCATTAGGGATCAGCAGCCACTTATCAGAGAAAACATTCAGCCTTTGGTGTTTTGGATTTGGCTTATTTCATTTAGCATGATATTCTCGAGCTCCAACCATTTACCTGCAAATGCCATAATTTCATTCTTCTTTAAAGCTGAGTACAATATTCCATTGTGTATATGTACTACATTTTTTTTTAAACATTAACATTTTTATTTTTTTATACAGAGAGGAGGGAGGGAGAGGGAGAGAGAGAGAGAGAGAGAGAGAGAGAGAGAGAATTTTTTATATTTATTTATTTATTTTAGTTTTCAGCGGACACAACATCTTTGTTTGTATGTGGTGCTGAGGATCGAACACAGGCCGCACGCATGCCAGGCGAGCGCGCTACCGCTTGAGCCACATCCTCAGCCCTGTACTACATTTTCTTTATCCATTCACCTCTTGAAGGTCATCTAGGTTTTTTTCTATAGCTTAGCTATTATGAATTGAGTTGCTATAAACATTGATATGGCTGTGTCACTGTAATATTCTAATCTTAAGTCCTTTCAGTATAAACTAAGGAGTGAGGTGGCTGGGTCAAATAGTATTTCCATTCCAAGTTTTTTGAGGAATATCTATACTGCTTTCCATAGTGGTTGCACTAATTTGCAGTCCCACCAGCAAGGTATGAGTGTACCCTTTCCCCTACATCCTCACCAACACTGTTGCTCATACTCTTGATAATTGCTGTTTGGACTGGAGTGAGATGAAATCTTAAGAGTAGTTTTGATTTGCATTTCTCCAATTGCTAGAGATGATGAACACTTTTTCATGTTTGTTGATTGATTTTATTTCTTCTGTGAAATATCTGTTCAGCTCCTTAGCCCATTTACTGATAGGATTGCTTTTTTAAAAAAAAATTTATTTTATTTATTTTGTGTGTGTGTGTGTGTGTGTATGTGTGTTCAGTTTTTGGAGTTCTTCTGGAGATTAGTGCTCTCTCTGAGGTACATGTGGTAAAGGTTTTCTCCCATTCTGTTGGCTCTCTCTTCATATTACTGATTGCTTCCTTTTGTTGAGAAGCTTTTTAGTTTGAGTCCATCCCATTTATTGATTCTTGATTTTACTTCTTGCGCT